CCCAGGACTCCCCTGGCTAGCCAGCTCGAGTATCCAGACCCACAGCAGGTCCTTGCAATGTCAAGGCGATTCCACAGACAGAATCGTTGATTGACGCCAATTCGTGATGATCCTGTAGTCTAGTCTCCAAGTGGTTGCTTCGAGACTGTCCGAGAGACCGCATGCATAAACCCTAAACTCTAAACCCCCAAACCTTACACGGAACCCTTACAGTCCCCTTGAGAAGGCGCCTGGGGGATGCACTCCATCGACTCCACCGACTCCCGCTGGAACCTCGGAGGGTCAAAACTCGGGCTGACAGAGGGACCTTGGTTTTAGGGTTTAGGGTTTAGGGTTTAGGGTTTTTTAACTTTTTTTAACTGCCTTGGGCGGGTTTAGGGCATAAATCGGCTGACCAAGGGACCTTGGTACCTAGGATAGGATTTAAGGTTTAGGGTTTAGGGTTTAGGGCATAAGTCGGGCTGGCAAAGGGACCTTGGTACCAAGGATAGGATTTAAGGTTTAGGGTTAAGGGTGTGGGGTTTAGGGTCAAAAATCTAAGGCTACCTTGGTACTTAGGATAGGGCTCCTCTAACTGTAAGGGGTATCACAGGGGCTACCCGAAACCATATATCCCAAGCCCTTGGGGTTGTGATATGGTTTCACTTAGGATAGGATTGGGTTCTTTTCAGAGTTCTTTTTGAGGGTATCATACGGGCTACGTTTAGGGTTCTAATGTGGGGGCCCCCGTGCTAGTTAGAAGAGGGTTTTGGTGCATTTTTCTGTCTGTTTGTATTCAGGAACCCTATGTTCGAGCTTTGTAGCTCTTGCTTCTCAAGACCCTAAACCTTAAACCCTAAAGCGAAAGTTTGACACCCTGTGCCCGACGACCACACATCCTAAACCCCCCCCAAGCCTCTTGTGAGTAGAGCCCTTGAGTCTTAAGTCTTAGGGTTCAGGGTTTAGGGTTTAGGGTCTTCGGTTGAGATTCGTGCACAGGGGCATTGAACGCCAGGACTGCGCACGACAAGAAACCTCAAGAAGACCTTGTGTTTGGGTTTTCTGCAATCCTCGACTCTAGACCCTGGACCCGCGAACCCTAAACCCAAAGCCCTTAAATCCTAAACCCTGAATCCCCGAACCCCAAGTCCCTGCAAAACCCTAAAAGCCTAAAGCTACCCTTCACGGTCCCAGGGGCAGGGACTCCAACAAGCATCGGACGCCGTGCGCTGGAGCCAGGCGCGGCGCGAGTTCTTCGAAGGCTTCCAGGCACGCCTTCCTGTTCCTCAATATGGCATACATACATACATACATA